TTGCTATTGCTCCAAGAAACGTCATACCTGGCAGCAACAATTCCAAACAAAAAAACGGTACCATTTTCTGAGAAAATGGTGCTTCCAACCCACACATCAGCAGCATCGCTTTCTCAGAAAACGGTGTTGCATCTGCAGCATTGATGCCAAACATATATATATAGAAAGCAAGTAAAGGGAACGAACCAACAACACTTCTCACAATACCATCTCAACCACTCTCTCCTGGGTTGCCATGGCTAGCTCTGTCGATATTTAATTTGAATTGGTTAATATTTGCAAACTTTAAAGAAACCCAATGAGCATCTCTCCCTTTTGAGAGTTATGATTAGGGGTGCTTATGGTTCAGTTAATCAACCAAACTGCCTGCCTATTTTTGAGACCGAACCAATACTATCAATTTATGAAAAACCGGTAACCGAAGCCAAATGGTTAACCGGTTGACCGGTTCAATTCGTTGGTTTTTTGTTTTTTTTTGTTTTTTATAATATAAATTATAAAAATATATAAATACATAATAAAAACTAGAAATATATATAATATTATATTTTAAATAAAAAATAATATATAGTATATTATAAATATATATTTATATATAATGCATATTTATTAAATTATAATATTATAATATATATGTGTGTGTGTGTGCGCGCGCGTGTATGTGTGTGTGCGCATGTGTATGTATATATGTATACTAATCAATTCGGTTAACCACTAGTTTTCTATATTGGTTAACTGAAATTGAATTGACCGATTCAGTTAACTAAATTTTCAGTTTAATTTTGGTCAGTTTTTTGGTTCGATTCAGCTTTTCAATTTTTTTTGCTCACCCCTAGTTATGATAGGTATCTTTAGAACTAATGAGCAAAGGAGTTTGGGCTGATGTTCTTTGGATTTTCCATGACATTGTTGATGTCTACAAGGTGATACGAAAGCATCTATCTTTCCAGAGAACCCATAAGATAATAGTGGGAATTATTGAGAGAGAATTATGCTAATTAGAAATGAACTTCGGAGTCAAATTTGCTGAAATTCCACAAGCTCCTTATCTATCAACTACAGCAAAAAAAACTATCAACTACATGATCGGAATAAGAATGAAACAGAAAATTAATAGAAAGTTATTAGGGTCTGTTTGGTTTATAGTCGAAACTGGAATCAGAATGGTCTATTCCCATAGTCTGTTTGATTCAAATAGAAATGAGAATGAAAATTAGAATCAACAGGACTGAGATTTCACTCCCAATGGTGAATGCCATTCCAGTAGGAAGGGGAATAGGATTCTGATTCTGCCCAACCAAACAGTTGAAACCGGAATAGCTCATTCCGATTCCGGTTCTAGATCCCTATTCCTGCAAACCAAACGGGGCATTAATAAAATTTGTGGAAAATCATAAAGAATTTTCCCTCAATTTTCTGTTTCCCTAATTTTTCTATAAAATGAAATAGAGCCTAAATATTGTCTTTTTCGTTCATGTACAATGGGAGAAAAGTTAAACAACCATAAACATGAACGATATGATAGGAAGAAATTTGTTTACTCTTTAATCAAAAGAATTTTAGTTGGAATCTGACACTACTCGATCCTAGGTGGTGCAAGAACTGAGGTCAAGTCAGATGATCCTTTGCAATTGGGTAGAGCCGAGGTGGAAGGATGGAACTACGCAATGAGGTCTACGAGCAAGAAACAAGTCAGAGGCCCGAGGAATTATCCCCGGTTAGGTACTCCAACGCTCAAGTCAGTAGAAGGCAATGGGTGATTGAGCCAAGCAATTGGAGGACAAGGCCGGTCTGAGCAAAGCAGTAGTATGAGAATCAGAAGTTCGATCCCTTACCTTGAGTGGGGAGTACCTTTTTATAGCCGAAGATCCGTGTCCTGATCGGATTAGACTTCCGGGGTTGTTGGGATGAGGCTAACCGCCGAGATCTTCGGGATAAGACCTAATCCTCAGTGGTGTTGTTCCCATCTGCTCTCTTATCTTGGTCGTGTCTATCCACATGACGTAGAGTTGTCATGGCTAGAAAGGTGGAGTGGGGCCACGGAGGTGTTGACGTAGTCGAGAAGATAGAGCGACCACGTATACGCCACACAGTGTCCAGAGCCAACTCAACCATAACCTGAACAGATTGATTAAAGAAAATAGGACAAAATACAATTATGACATCAAAGACTTGGGAAAATTGACATAGAGATGAATAATGAGGTCCAAAGTCTATAAATCATTTCCCATTACTCCAGTTTATTTTCATTAAGTAGAGTTTTCAATGGGCCGGGTCTACCTGTTAAAATTGAACCAACCAAAATTTAATCAGGTAGAGAAGCACCTGCCTAAAAATTTTACCTATACTATTATAACATATTTGCCTTAATTTTGGTACAAGACATAAAAGTTAAATTAGATTATAAATATCAACTTATTTCTTTACCTTTCACATATACATGCCCTAACAATACAAGGGAGGACGTAGCCTCACTTGCCTCAAACCCCAGATGCAATAATCTCTCTAGCTAGTCCTCATGCATTCAGACCCAGCCAAAACAAAATAAAAACAATTAAAAAGAAACCTAGACACTGATAAACTAGAGTGCTCATTGCAGAGCAGCAATTGATTCAAAGCATTCGTAGCTGAATCAATACCCATATTTACAAGAGTATGCATGTGGACCTGTATGTGATAGAAAGACATTTTCTCACCACGATTATAACTAGCATTTGATTATCACATTCCACCAATATATCATTCCAGCCTTAGTTCAAACATAAACGAAGACCATCGCAGAGGGCATTCATTTCGGTTTGTATCAACATGCACTAGTCATAGAAAGAAAAGAAACGTGAACTCTGCCTTCATTGGGGCCTGTCTTCTAAATGCTAAATGCGAGAGAGTGAAGATATATTTAAGGATTTAAAGGGCAAAACACAGGCTAGCTAGGAGTAGGGGTGTCAATTGGACTAGATTTGGTCCAATCTGATCTAGTTCAATGTGAATCCATTATAAATGGACCAGGTCTAGTCCAGTCCAATGAATATTTTGGATCAGTCTAATTCAATATCTGGACCATCCAATCTGTTCAAATTTGTTTTGATTTAGACTGGTTTCAATTCAAACCTAGTCCATTGACACTTATATTTTTATCTTATATCAATGGACCAGATATTGGCTTAATACAACCCAATCCAATATAAATTTATTACGAACGGCTCAAGTCCAATTCAATCTAATAAATATTTTATACCAAATTGGTCCAATCCAATTTGTCTTGTTGATTCGTCCAATCCATTCAAATTGATTTTTTAAACTGAACGGGGTCCAATCCAATTTGTCTCGTGGACTGAGGGTAATATAATCTCATGGAGCTGACAAGTTGTCTAATCTCTAATGCGGTACTTGTATCGAAACCTTAGTCTTTGAGAGTGCGCTATGAGTGCTTAGGAGGGAAACCATGAAGCACATGTGAACACGCACCATTCCTTGAGTGGCTCTCATGGTCCCTGGAATACATGTTTATTGGAAAAAAAGAGATAAGATTTGCTTCTCGCATGTTTGTTAAATTAAAAAAGATTCTAGAAATATACAGAGACATACTCATAGCCTATATATTTCTCCAATTCTATAAATATATAGCTAGGAGGTGAACACCTCAACGAAGGTATATTTTTCTTAGCCATTTTTACCCTAATTTCCTTTGTTGTTTGGCCTTTCTTAGTTTTCATTGTCTACCTCTCTTTACTTTACCTTTAGGCTGTGTTTGGTTCGAAGGAAAAAATAAACCTATTATAGGTTTCTTTACATTTTCCTTCCTTCTCTTATTTTTTTCTTCAAACCAAACATAAAGTCCCAACTTACAAAGCCTACAAATTATCCTTATTCCATTGGTTTACACTTTACAATACAACCAATTACTAATTACTAATTGCTTTTGACTTGTCCACCTAACAAAACCTTACACATTGATGATCCATGTGTAGGAGTGAGCTTTTCATCAATGATAATTATTTTCAGCCCGATCTGGCCTCGCATGAAAGCTGGTTTGTTTTTACTTATCAAAAACTAGCTGGTATGCTTTGGTAAATTACCTAGAATTAGTTTATCAAAAATTAGGGAAAAAAAAAAGAAAAAACTACTCCCACACTTAGCAGAAGGTGCTAGAGGCTTTTGGGAGTAGATGCTTAGCCATTTGCTGATTTTTCTCAGTATTTAAGAATAGATTCCCTATCCTTTTGGCCCGTATTTGGCCCTTTAAGATACATAAACTTCATAAGAAAAGAAATATAGAAAAAAAGGAAAAAGGAAAAAGAAAAGTTAGCCCAATTGGGTATTCGTTGTTCTTCTCTACATGATCCCATATACTTTTGCAACGGAAGGGCTCATGTGGCCAATCCACATCCATCCATTAGAATCAAATGCTTCCTTTAGCCATGTCCACGAAAAAATTTCAAGTTAAAATCATGCATATTGGTGAAAACCCCCAAATAACCTTGACAGCAAACCACTGAAACCGACTTCTATCATATCAAAAAAATTTTCCTCGACAAAATTGTTAGTGTCACACATTTTATACCAAGATTTTTATTGTTCAGTCCATTCTTCTACCGCATAGTTGGGATAGGTGTCGGGTCGGAATTAATGTTAATACATACACCAGTACCGATGTTTAGGTGGAGATGTTTAAAATTTTGAATTATCATGAGTCTCCAGTAGAAATAAAATTCTAAGATGGAGTTTAGTATAGTTATTATTATTATTATTATTATTATTATTATTATTATTATTATAACACGTGTCCTTTTCTAGATTCTTCTTATCATCTCCTATCCTCCGTGAGTCCCATCTCTCACGCAAAGAAGACGCAAGCAAGACAAAATTCCTGGACGAAGATGACAATCAGAGAGGAGAGATTAGCGCTGCAGCCGGAGATCGTCGGAGAAGAAAAAATAAAGAGGTACAGGTACCACTGCGTTAAACAAAGTTTCGTATGATCAAATGATGGAATAAGCTTTATCGAAAATCAGTTGTAATAAATTAGCAATCCTTCCACTGAATCAATCGGATAACATCAAAAAATTTGCTTTTCTTTTTTGTATTTTGTTTTCTCCTTTCCAAATGCCCACATCAATAACAAGAACAAATGAGGAACTGGAGAATAACAGAAAAAATAGAAAGAGAGGAAAGAAAAACAAGAAAAACAAGAAAGCTGAAACAAATTATATATCCATCATATCCTGCTGGAGAGCTTCTTCCAGATACATCTCAGACTCTTCCATCAAATCAGGACTCAATCTGAACATGAGAACGCAAAACTCCATCTGATTGAGAGCCCCATCACCGTCGACATCCCCTTCCCTCAACATGCTTTGCAGTTCGTCGTCTGTCAATCCTTGTAACCCCAAAAGGGCGGCGTTTCTCTTCAAGCTCTCGAAAGTGATGAGTCCCTTATCAGGGTCCATGAGCAACTGAAACCCATTGCAGATCTCTTCTATCAATCCTTGCCCACCCAACTTGTCGGCCATTATTGGCAAGAAATCTTCGAAATCAACCGTCTTTCGTCCTTCCATCTGGTGAATGAATTATGATGCTCTGCTTTTAGTTCTTGGTTGCTTGGGGAAAAGAGAATAGAATAGAAAGGAGAACAAGTTAAGACAGGAGGTGGGATGAATGAGGAGAGTTAAATAGGCAAAGGAATAGAACTGAAAGGGGGTGTTCGTGGAAGGAAGGAGAGGGTTGTGTGTGTGGGTTCATGGATGGATGCCAACCAAGTCCAGTCGGAGTGGGGAGTGGGTCGATTCATTCCCGCAGTTGCTTTCCTCTTTCGCAGAAGGTCGCCAAGGGTAGAATCGTCTCTCAAGAAAGAATGGTTCTATTTCTGTTGTTTGTCTTTATTCTATTCCCGTCAATTTCCTCGGAGTCGGGATGAGCTGGTGCCTGGGGTGCCGGACTAGAATATTATTCATTGACCGAAAAGTCCTTTATATTCGAATATATTTACGGGAGTACAATGTTAATCGATGGACCTTCGTTTGGTGGATTAGTCATTGGTCAATGGGTGCACTTGCACATGTTAATGTACTTACACATGTTAATCCAATTGGTCTTTACACGTGATGAAGGGTAATTTTATCTACCAATGATATGATATGTGGCATTGTAGAATAGTAGGATGATATTTTGGTATCGCATAAGTAACCCTTAGTAGCACCTTGAACACTTCATGAGTCATGACTATCCATCGGCCTCAGCATAACCCAGTAAGTCGAATTTCAATCAGCTAGCAAGACCTTAGCTTGGTGTAAGAGGCAATTTGCTTCTATCGACCTGACCTAACTCTGGTTAATGATCTATTTTGCATGTCTATTGCCTCCGAATTCTCCGGAATCATAATGTCACGTTAGAAGAGCTACCCATCAGCCACCCACTTCGGGCGAAAATGGATAACTATCATCTACTTATATGAAGTCTGCCTCTAAGCATGAAACCACCTCCGAACCAGACGGGCTTCAAATCCTAAACATGTTTTGTGAGACCTATGATGGTTTGTTTATATAAGAGCCTCACCTCCTACCCTAAAAGGTACATGTAATTTAGCATTCACAGTTCTCTTATTTTCTTGCTTTCTAGCTCACAAAACCTCCAATTCACTTCACTGATTTAATCATCAAAATATCCACATCAGATAAAACAACCAGAACACTAATTCTATCTCTTTGCAATTCAACCAAGTGACCTGCCTAATCTAACTTCTGAGCTTTCCTCCAACAGCGAGCTACCATATCGCACATCATCTACACCTACCTCAGAATTTATAAATTTTTGAAGAGCAAATCAGATTTCCCTTGGATTATCATCATCGGTATCAAATCAAATGGATAGGACGATCCAGAGACTTCGTCGTAGTCACAGCGGATGTGCAGTCGAGCTACAGACCAAGACCACGCACTTTGTTTTGACCAATGTTTTTTTAAATGAAGGGCATGGTTGATAGTTGACAAATACTTGAGAGAGGACGAGTTGCAAAATGTCAGAGTGGAAACACATCGCTGCGGGGGTCAAGTTTGTAAAATACCACGAAAATGATTTTACCGCCAAAAGTTAAGAAGCGATCTGCTATTGCCTATTGCCTATTGGCTTATTAAATTTGTCTAATTGCCGGAGGCAGGCCGAGTCAACTCACCAATAAGAAGCTTGGATTCCTTTCTGGTTTCTACTATACTCCTGGCGAAGGAAGTCAGCGGAATTATTATTATTATTATTATTTAATAGCCATCATGTCGTTAATGGGATACAATAGCTGTATTTTCAATTCATCTTCCCTCAGTTCATACTGTTGTTGGATTATGTCGCTTATTTACGTCAAACGTCATCGAAAAAGTTATTTTTACTTCTATGGTAGAAAGGGCCTTCGGTTTATATATGGGCCTTCTCGGCCTGGCCCATCGCCTAAGCAAAGACCTGGACCAATTTCATTATTACATGACTCATAACCATATATCTATTTATAGACTTGAATAAATTTAAAAGATAGGAGGATCGTAAATTATATGGAAAATGACCCTTTTCCATGTAATATATATGTATTATATATTTTATACATGGAAAATTATATTATATATATTATAGCGTTAAGGCTGAAAAACTACAGATATAGGCATGACTGGGTCACCGAGGGTAAGGGACTAATAAGATGTAAAAGCGGGCTTTGCTGGGTTTAATAATATTAATACCTTACACATATATAGTTGAATCCAGCTACAAATTAAGTACCATGAAACAACAGCTTGCATTGAACAATGCATGCAGGTCTAACGACCTTCAACCACACTAATTGTGACTTCATTAATGGAGCAAGATGCTGTTCCTGTGGCAGATGATGATGAGTCTGCATATGGAGCTCTCTTCATTATAAAAGCAGGTTGATTAGGAGGTGGCATAATAGTTTGATTGGAAAGCATAAAAACAACGTTGGACATGGTAGGCCTGTCCGACGGACTTTCTTGAACACACAAGAGACCAACATGAATGCACCTCAACACTTCATCTCCAGGATAGCAATCGCCCTCACCCATACACGAATCAACTATGTCCAATCCTTTTCCTTCTCTCCATAGTTCCCATGCCTGATCAAATAACAGTTCCAATATTACTTTCCATCAATCTTATTTCAGAGAAGCACTATTTTTGGTAGACAGAAGAAATGTCAGTAATTAACTCTACTGCCTTACATGTCCTATCAAATTCATGTAGGGATCCTTGTAATTATAGCCAGTGTTCTTCTTGCCACTGATGATCTCTAACAGTAAGACCCCGAAACTAAATACATCAGATTTTACAGAGAATAGCCCATCCATTGCATACTCCGGTGACATGTAACCGCTGCATTCCATTGAAATGTAAATCACAAATTTAAAAAATAATAACAATAAAGACAAATAGTCAGCTTGCATTTTTCTATCTTAAAAAAATAAATAAAAATGAATTGATCCTAATTAAGGGTACCAATGGGTGGGTGTGGATGGATTGGCTGTTGGTTGAGCCACAGTCCGGTCATTTAACCCATAAAAACTAGTTACCCCTAGAGTTGGGGCTAGAGTTGGAAAATACTAACCCAATATAGAATCAGGTTGGATTAGGGTTGATGAATTGGATAAATTGACGACTGAAGCTGAACCCAACGTATTGTGTATTATTTGTATTGATTTTTGTATATTTGTATATTAGGCTTAGTTTGAAAGGAGTACAAATGCAAATATGTAGAGTATAAAACCTTATATTTTGTATTATTTTGTATGCATTTGTTTTGTTTATATTTGTATTTGTATTCTTTTCAAACTGAGCATTAGTCTCAGTTTGGGAAGAGTACAAATACAAATATATACAGTAAAAATACATATAAATTACAAGGTTTTGCACTCTATATATTTGTGTTTGTACTCCTTCCAAAAGATGAGGGACAATGGCAGCATGTAGTATGTAGCTTCAAAAGAGAGAGAGAGAATTCAACCCAATGCAACCCACTTATTAAGGAGCCATTTTCTAATAGCTTAAGGCGGTGTTCGGCACCGCGTTCATCTTGTGGACGGGACCGATCCACATTATATCATGGACCAGTCCCATCCACACCCCAATGTAGTGTCAACGGAAAAAACTCATGGGTACTTCCCTCCCCCCTCCCTCCACGGTTTATTTTTGATCCCATGCTTTATAATTTCTCTAAAACCCTATTGTTCGAAACACTTCTTACTCGAGCTATGGTAGTCGTAATGGTAGGTGCTTGCAACTAGGAAATGAGTGAGAGGGGGCGTTCTTCCAAGTGTGACTCCTGTCTGATACCTTAATAAATAGTTCAGGTGATGATCACCAACTTCAGTTTTTCTCAACCAAGGGAGGAAAACATGGGGGTTTGTAAACGGTTGGAGGAGGCTGTGGGTGCGAAGTCTCCTCTATGGTTAGAGAGCATAGTTGGACGAAGGTCTGAGAGCGATGCAAATAGTGAGAAGGAGAAGAAGAAGAAGAGGAGAAGAATAGGAGGAAGAAGGAATAAAGAAAAAGAAGAGAGAGAGAGAGAGAGAGAGAGAGAGAGAGAGAAGAAGAAGAAGAAGAAGAAGAAGAGAGAATGGTGGAGGTTTTGGTTGCCACCATCACATTGTTCTCATCTAAGGAGAAAGACAATGAATAGTGCCTCCTTCGATCAAATTAGGTTAAATTAGAAAGTTTGGTAAGTTTTGATAATAGGGATAAGGGTAGTTTGGTAACTTCAAAGAAGTCTATGGGTAATTTGATAATTTTGGAAATGCAAGGGTAATTTGGTTACTTGGGGTCTAAGGGGGTCAAGCTCAAGCAGGGTAATTTAATTATTTTACTATTGTTTTGTAAAAAAAATTAATATTTATTGGTCAATATCAATTCATTGATGCATTTTTCAAAATATTTATCATATAAAATGCAAAAATTAGATATTTATTATTAACTTTGTATAACATTCATAAAATGTATATGAAATAAATGGAATAAAAAAAGTGTGGTGTGGATTGGTTAACACCATGCCACAAAATGCCACTATGGGTGTGGACTGATTCAACCCACAGTTTGTCAACAGTTCAGAATAATTATAAATTGTTGTGTAGTGTGGATTGGTCTTTATCATAGGGTGTGGTGTGGATAAGTCCACACCCACCAATTTCTCATTCACACTACAGAACACCCCCTAAGTGGCTGAAGTTAGTTGCATTCACACCGACCTTATAGCCACATCCCACACCTGTGTAATGAGAACATCTCCCATTCATAATAAACATAAGTACGGAAGATGTTTCCTATGGATAGCCAGGACATGTTGTGAGGTGTACTATGTGAGGAACAGATCCGAACTCTTGGGTATATGTAACCAACTTCACTGAAGTATATGTTCTCTTTATCTAAACAAAGAAAAAACGAAGAAATTAAGGATCAACTTACTATGTTCCCACTACTCTGTTGGTGTTGGCTTCCGTTTGGCTCCTTCCAAATATTCTGGCCATACCAAAGTCTGAAATTTTTGGGTTCATATCAGAATCTAAAAGAATATTGCTGGCTTTTAGGTCCCTGTGAATAATTCTCAATAATGAATCTTGATGAAGATAAAGAACTCCTCGAGCAATTCCTACTATGATTTCAAGGCGTTTTTCCCATTGCAGGAGCTGTCTTCTAGTTTCATCTATCCAGAGTTCAAATCAAATCGTTGTTCTAAGTCTAAACATCTATTTAAATGCACAGCCAAATATTGATGGACAAGTAAACTTATATCATTATTTGAAGAAAACTAAGATAACCCTACTGGGATGAGTAGAATGGTACCGAAAAGAAAGTAATCCAAGCTTTTGTTGGGCATGTATTCATAAATCAACATCTTTTCTTCATCTTGAATACAGCAACCTAAAAGCCTAACTAGATTCCTATGCTGAAGTTTGGCAATCAACATGACTTCATTTTTAAATTCTACTATTCCTTGTCCTGAATATTTGGATAGCCTTTTCACTGCAATTTCTTGTCCATTAGATAGACGACCCTGTATGAGCATTACAACATTCATAGAATTACCCAATATAGTTAATAAAGAAAAGTAAATATATATATTTTTTCCGGATTTCAGCTGGTAACTCAATCGAAAGCCCTACAACCTCAATTTTCTAATTGGGAGAAGAAGCATATACGAATACCATGAAACAGACAAGTTAAATGAAAATACAGCATGACTTATAGAAATCAAATTACCTTATAAACTGGGCCAAAACCACCTTGTCCAAGCTTATTGCTGGAGGAAAAGTTATCTGTAGCAGCTACTACGACACTTAAATCAAAGAATGACAATTCTGAATTTATCTCAGCTTCTTGAAGCTCAGCAGCCACAAAGGAACTTTTAAATTCCTCTGGATTAGCATTGGAATTAAACAAGAGCTCCTGATGTGGTTGCATCTTAGTCGTAACTGTAACATTATAATAAAAATGATTACCAAAGAAATCTGTATAGATTCATCCACTTTATAAATTTTTCTATATAGGTTTGTATAGCTGGGAATGGTGATAGGGGGAGGAATGTATTTAATACATGAGGTACTCTAGCATAGGTGTGGGGTTGGAACAATACATTCACAAAACCAATAAAAAAATTCTAAGGAGAAGGAATAAATTTCCCAATATTTACTTTTAGAATATGGTATTTGAATGGTTAAACATCCTCTCCTAAGCCCTCCTAGGCCATAGCAAATAATAATTTCTTTTTTCTTTCATTTTGTTTATGTTAAATTCCAAGGACCACCCCTAGATTGTTTGGGAGCCTGGACCTCCTGACCACAACACATTGCTGTTAGACAGTGTATGCTCTTAGCTCTAATCATATTAATGTACATTATGACATTTATTGTAAATAAATAAAGTACATATTTGATTCATATTATTGTGGTGTGTTTCTATGTAATACCCTTAAACTAGACACATATGAGACTCATGTTAGTTTAGAATGTTCACAGCCAATGGATTGATCTGGGGAGATCTGTTCTGATAATGCTGACACTGATGTACTGCCAAGTTGGTTGGGATAGCCTGTCTCAGCTGCTAGGGTGAAACCTGAGGTACATGTAGTGTAGGTTTAACTTGAAACCTTGAACCGAACCAAAATTCCAGTGTTGCCCTGGACCTTGGTGATAAGTGAGCAAAACTGGAATATTACACTTAACCCCTAGACTCGATTATGATATTGTACTAGGTGTCAGATTGGGGTGTCTTTGATATGCCAATCAATGAGATCCTTAGAGGGGGTCAAAACCTGGGTATGTTGGGACAATTCAAGAATTCATCTGAGTGAGTGATCATAGTGACAGGATCAGCCCCTTTGTCGAACAAAGGTAATGATCGGGAATGCACTCTCTCTAATAGAAACCAAAACTATTGGTAGTTGATTTCAATCGTTGAAATTTGTTTTACAAAATATATATATATATATATATATATGCTATGTTTTGATCTAAATGTTTGCAAAAGGTTTTAATTCTCGGGATCCATGTGAGCAGAGAGTGCAACACTGTTCCTTGCAGCCGAGGGAGAGGTCATCTCTTGTTGGGGAGTCTTTGATCATTAAAGGTTGAGAGGTTAAGTGTAAGACCATTAAGGGTTATACCTGATAGGCTAATCTTGCATCTGCCACAATCCCTGGGCTTTTATAAGGTGGCTTGGCCTAGGGACCACTTAGCGTAAGTATTGCCCATGTCATGGGCTTTAGGGGGTTCACTGTCATTTTAGTGAATTCAGCCAGGCCTTGTAACAGAGGTTGGGCTAAACCCATGTGGCTAATGTGTAGATCAATGTTTGGGTCCCACGCCATACAAGGAAGCTAGACAGAAGTTTGGAAGGTTAGTGAGCACATAGACTTAATGGGCCTAAAGTCCAATTCGAACTGGTATAATTAGATTATTTAAAGAGGGGCAGATCTGAGGTTTGGATCAACAGATAGGATAGGGTCTTATCCCTATCCACTCAGAGAGTCCAGATCCAAATATAGATTTGAATCTGGAAACTCCTAATAAGATTAGGAGGGCTGATCTAATCTACAGATAAGATAAAGATCTATCATTATCACTTAAAGAGAGTCCATATTCAAATAATGATTGGAATCAGGAAACTCCTAATGGGATTAGGAGCTGATCTCTTTAAGTCTATAAAAGGAGGAGAGGGCGAACCATTCAGATCATCCAAAACTCCAACCAGAGACATCAGATCTCAGATCATGCAGAGAGAAGACAACAACAGTGTGACTACGCCATCTTCTCCCTACGTTCTCCTCTAGTTGCCACCACAGCCAGTTTGATCTCCATTGTTGTAGGAGCGATTAAAAAGTGTTCTTGATATCAGTTTTTGAAGAAAAATTGATTAGAAGTCATGCTCACATACCCTCTAGCGAATTCTTGGTGAAGGATTTGGTTCTTTTGGAAGAATACTGCTGATTCTGCTCCATCATGTACTGTGTCATCTTCAGTGGGAGCAGTCTTTGGATCCTTTTTTAGGCGTGAACACCTCCATTGTAAGATATTATTTCTTCGTATCAGGTATCTCCCTCTCCTATTGTTTTGTTTCAGATCTTGTTCGGTTCTTGGTTCAAGATTGATCATTGAAAAAACAGTTTTTCTAAATTAGAGAATGTGATTCCCAATTGGGAGAGAGAAATTTTTGAAATTTTGCCCTACTTACCTACAAGGTTCGGCTATCCATATGATGGATCTCTCATCCCTTCAATTGCCGGCCACACTTATCCAACCACACATCAGGAATATCGGCGGTGTAAATACAACTAATGTTTTATATTATTTGTATATGTATTCATAATGTATATATTCGTATTTGTACTCTTACCATATCCATGCCAAAATCCTCTTATAGTTCACCTCTGATCTAATAAAGGAATCAACCGCTTGCTAGGAAAATCTCAGTATGCTTTGAGGGGATTTCTGGGTTTTGGGGGAGGGTTAGTTCTACCAGCGAATAAGAAAACATCCTCAATCTCAGTAAAGTCTATGTGGTTGTTATAAAAGCCAATTACCATCAATTGATATATTCATTTCTGATTTGGTATTTCTAACCTGATTTTCATCCTTATTTCTAGGAGAGAGAGATATACCTTTCCTTTGTCTCTTCTGCAACAAGTAGTAACAACACAGGATAAATGCAAGTAATATAACAGGTACCGTTAAAAGAGCTACCAACATCCGCCTCTTGTTAAAACCTTTTGAATTTCTTCTTGCTGCAAGGACAAAGTTCCAGTTAATCTCATTGTTTTTGTGTGTACCAGTACCAGGCCAATTTCCAACTTGTTTTGGGGTTATACCTATACCCAAGTTATTATATATTAATTAATATGAAGAAGCTGGAAGAGGAAAAGCTTATTCTCAACACAGTCACAGAGAGGAAGGGCAAGGGCAAGGGCAAGGGCTCTAGCTCTTTGCACAGGGATTGATGAGAATGAGATGGATAGCAGATAGAATTACGTACCTACACGTACGTATAAATCCTGTCCTCCATCTGAATAGTGTCGGATATCCATCAGTTCTCCGTACCAAGACATGCAGCCGCTTCCACTTCCCCCTCCGCTAATGTTTACTTTGCTGTAACCAGTGCAATTGCAGTTGCTCAAGCATTCCTTCTCGCACTCCTCTTGGCTCATACTTCTGTCATTCAGTACTCGAGCGGCCACCGTATCCGGCAGCTTCACGTGTTCCAATTTCAAGAACTCCTCCTCTGCCTTCCCAAGGCCACATTCTAATCTTCTCTCCCTCACGCACCCTTCCGACCCATCTCCCCCTGCAGCAGCACCAGACTTATTGGGTTGGAATCCTGGCACACACGCGCACTCAAAACCGTTGTTTGCGTTGGTGGTGCAGCTACTGTACCCTCCGCACCGTCCGTACTCGTCGCATCGTTCCTTGAGTGCTTCCCAGTATCGTGTCCATACAGGCTGGACGTTACTCCATATTAGCCATTGGAATGAGCCGGAGTCGTTCAACATGAATACGGCGTAAATCGAGAAGGTAAAGTTAGCTGTGTTATTGTACGTCACATAAACCTCATCACTACTGTTCACGTACTGGTAATGGAAGAAGGTGCCCATCGGCTGATGTACGCCGCTCCAGTTATCACCCATCCATGGACCACTTCGCCAAACCGGAACTGAACCCTTGTACAAGAATAATTGTGGGGATCCTTGTGGATCGAGCTGCAATGAATAATCCCCAGATGCCGGGTCGTCTGGGGACTTCCAAGATGTTAGGGACTTATTTTTGCCGGTTTGTCTGTTGAAGCCGAGTTGCATCCCAGGAAGGTGCGTATGTGTAGGGTAGTCGAAGCTCTGCCATACAATATTTCCGCTATCATCTTGAGGACTAAGAACCAGATTTCCGTTGTCTAATAGCTTGGCGAAATATTTGTTGGAGGGAATCGAAATGTTATTGGCCGACCACAGAGGGGGACCCTCCTGATTTCGGTCGATGATAACAAGATTTCCTTCTCGGCTGATCTTGAAAACTCCGGTCGAGCCCTTAATTGGCTTTTCTCTATTAGCGACCCACACTACCATCTGTTTTGAAGCGTTATACCATATCCCGACGTACCGGTTACTAGAATTTCCGGGGCTGAAGAATCCTAAAACGAAGTGCTTTCCAGCAGAGACTAGGATTTGACTGTCGCCGTCGTCGGTGATAGATTGATTTGCGGTTATGGTGTCAATGGAGTGGCAGAATTGAAAGACAAGAAAGAGGGAGAATGTATTCATCAGAAGACGTTTATGAGACACCATGGCTATTGGGGTTTGGGTATGAAGGCAGTGGGCAATGGCTGATTTGAAGTTGAGCGGTGAGGTGTGAACTGTGAAAGAGCCGGCCTCAGTCTAAAAATAAATAAATGAACGGCAAACGCAAAAGCACGTCATCGAGGTGATTCTTGAATCACATACAAACCTGCAGACCTACATCGACATACATACTGTTGCAATATAATTAAGATCTAATGAACTTGTTCATCTACAATAACTTTGTCATTTGTGAACGTACGCTTCTGTAATGTTGCATTGATATCTTACATTGAAGTTGTGTCCCAAACGTGCACTTGTCCTGTTGGAGTGATGAATCGGGCCATCGGACTCAGTCCTCACCAAATCGTTCCCACACCATATTTATTATTTCAGCGGATGGTGAGCAAGTGATATAAGCGGCAATTTTTTATTGATTGGTTGAACAAGTGATAAAATGGCATAGAGGAAAGCGCCTCGTAAGTTGTTGATGGATATCTGAACCGAGAGCGGATTGACTGAACTTAGATGGTCGTGTTACGTCACGGGCGGACCAACAACGACGCCATCAGTCATAAATGCAAAAATTAGAGATGGTTGCGAGATAACAGAGAGGTTACAGCACACGGAAACGACCTAACATAATTAAGTAGTGCATTCAAAAAACACAATTATTTTAAGTGATACCAACATCAACATGTCCTGCATTTCGTACATTTGCGTGGCGTGGCAGTTGGCACGATTAATTGATTCACAAACTTTGTTTTGTGACAAAGACTCCCCTGCCCTGATTTCTGGATTCTAGCACTGTATTCCTACCCATTGATTAGGTTAATGGTGAAAGAAAAATAACTAAGTTGCTATTTGAGATCCTTTGGGCTAATAATAACAAATAACAAAATGCTGAAAATAACTATATGAAAGCCGAAATTGTTTTTACGGCATTGATGTTGACCATTCTTAACGCATTCTTAAGGCATTCTCAAGAAACTTTGTTAAAAGAAAATCAAGAAAAACATGTGGGAGTTAGAAAATTAATACATATTGTATCGGTGACCCTTCAATATACCCCTATAATAACTGTTTTGAGGTTTGACCTATTTCAGAGGGTAGACAGGTCTTATACCAATCTGCTAAACCAATTTGAACAAATAATAATAATAATAATAGTAATAATAATAATAATAATAATAATAATGAGGGATGATTTGGTTGGTCAAATGATGTGATGACATGTGGAGTGATGGAATGATGTGGTGACACCTCAGTGACCTCGGCGAACTCAACAATCCCAGTCACCTCAGGCACATCAGGTCACCCAACTAGATCGAGGCTCGGGTAGTTCAATTATAAGCACTGATCTACTGGGGTGCCACGTAACCTTCATTTAGAAGCAAGCCATCCATCTTCGATCTCCTCGAGATCACGACCCCACATCAACAAATTGTATCTTCTCTTTGCTCGATTCGGACAAACCTAGATAAAACTTATTAGCTTACTCAGAATCCATCTTTGGGTGCAAAACCAACTCCGGACTAGACGGGTTGACGATCTCAGACACGCATCATGAGGCCTATGGTAGCTCACCTATATAAAGGCCTTTCCTCCAATCTCACACAGTACGCGTGACTAAGCTCTCTAATTCTCTTGCAATCTAAACTTTCAAGCTTTCTCAAACCTCCAAATCGCTAGCTTAATCATCGGAGTGCCCACACCGAGTAAAGCACCCTAGACACTCTGACCTACTTGTCCTATAACTCAACCAGGCAATCTCACTAGCCCAACGTCCAAGCTGTCCTCCAACAAGGAGCACCAAATCCCTCTACATCAATTGGCACTATATGTGGGAACCATATAAAAATCCAAGTCCTCACTTCACCTTACTACTATTATCTCATTAAAATCTTCAAGCAACCAATCTGCCAACAACAACCAAGTCACAAGGGGTCAAGACCAGCCTGTAGTACATCTAGAGGTCCCCACTATGACTATTAGGCAGTTCATAGTGCCTTTGGCCCTTCTAGGCATTCTAGCTATACCGAACCTAGACTTTACCTTACACCAAGTGAACACGCCTCTCCCTCCAGTCGAGACATCAATGATTCCTACTGGGATTGATGTGCACTAGTTCAATGAATTGGTGTAGTATGTCCGTGGCATGAACCTACAAATGAGGACGTGGGAGGAGCGATTTGTCACCTTGGTAGGAATGCACTAGCAGCAATAGGCACATTAGCAATAGGAGTAGAACTAGCAACCCAATGATCAATAGCCTGACAACCAGAATCAGGACTAGGTTTCGGACCCTCCTCTTCACACTGATGATCGGAACTAGGTCCCTATCAGAGAGCACAATTGAGCAACTGCACCGATCAAAATTAAAGGAAACAGCTCGACCAATGTGTTGAGGAGGAGGCATTGCCGATGTGCATGCCACAACACTAGGAGTAGCCACCTCGCTTCCACCACCGGTCCAGGTGATCATCTTGACAACTTCCAAGCTCTGATGCAGTTACATAGGGCGAATGTTGCGAGCCTATGCATGGCCTTCCCGACCACTTTCTAGGATACAACTTGAATGTTGTATTTGGGGCTGGTGTGGGCTCCATTAAAAGCTAGAACCAGTTTGTAAACTTGTTCATGACACACTTCACCACCAATAAAAGATGTCCGAAGTCAAAGACCTACCTCCTAAACATGGTCTAGAGACTAGATGAGACATTTTGGGATTACATCGAGCGGTTTAACCTAGAGCGCCTACAGATTACAAATCTTGAATCGGCCATTCAACTCACTGTAATGGTCAATGGCATACAACACCCCAACTTGCACTAGAAAGTTGAGTTGAACCCTCCATCTTCCGTAGAGGCGTTCCTCCACTAAGCCAATAAGTTCACCAAGGCAGATGAGGCTTTCGGATCACAGTTAGAGCTAAGCGGGAAGAGGAAAGGGGCAGGAGAAGAAGTGGGGAGCAACAAGCAGAGGCGCAAGAGTAAGTCGCCGAAGAGAAGCAGGTCCCCTTGTAACAAATGGAGCATGTCACCCAGAAGAAGAAGATCCCCATCCAGAACAGAAGCTATACCGTCCTCAATGCAAAGAGAGGGGAAAAACTAATGCACATCAAGACAATCGAGTACGTCAAGTGGCCACCCAGAATGAGAGGCAACCCCATAAATAGAAACCCAAACAAGTACTGCCACTTCCATCTTAACATCAGCCATGACACTGAGAACTTTCGCAACCTCAAAGACGAGATCGAAGAGCTAATTTGTCGAGGCTACCTCAAGTATTTCATCAAGCATGATGACTGGAGTTAACTTGTCAGCCAGCCAAGAGAAGTGCTAGAATCGAGCAGGGGGCAGAATAGGGACTAGCCACCTCGGGATCCACCACCAATAGAGTGGCCCATTCACAAAGTAACCAACATGATCACAGGAGGATTTATTGTTGCAGGATGCAGTACCATGACAGGGTAAAACTCAATCCAGGAGCTTGAGCACGAGGATGAAAATCCCCCAAAGCACCCTCTTGTGGAAGAAGTCGTACTTCACTGAGGACAACACTCACGGAGTCCAGTATCCACATGACGATGCCCTCGTTGTTAAAATGATAATAATGACTTTGAGGTAAAGCGAATTCTATTTGACTTCGGAAGCTCGATCGACATCTTATTTCTGGACGCATTTGAGAAGATGTAGCTTGAGAGGAAATATTTGCAGCCAGCATACATCCCCCTAGGATTAAAGTAACAGTCACAGCAGGCTTGGAGCCAAACTCAACCGTGCTTCAAGCATAACTTTCTAGTTGTTGTGACTCTGTCCCCCTACAATGCCATCCTGGGTTGACATATCCTGCTTGCACACCGGGCAGTAGTGTCAGCCTACTACTTGTCGATGAAGTTCCCGATGGGCTATAGTGTAGGGGTGATGCAAGGTGACCAGTTGGAATCTCATAAGTGCTACATGGCGGAATTGAAGGGCAAAAGTAAGCTGGCAAACAATGTTAACCTAGAACCGACCTCAAAGAACACTAACAAGCGAGCTCGCCCCATGGAAGACATCGTCTTAGGACCGGTCTTAGACAACCGATCCTAAGAAGATGGTGCAGATTGGAGCTCGCTTTGTAGAGCCATTGCGGTTACAATTGATAAGTTTTTTACTTAGTAATTTAGATATTTTTGCATGGTCGACAACAAAAATGCCCGATATAGACCCCTCTATCATTACTCATAAGCTGAATGTCAACCCTTTAGTCAGACCAGTTAGGTTGAGGAATGAGGAATAGGAATCTCACCCCAGAGAGGTGGAGGATAGTTGACAAAGAAATCAGGAAGCTTCTCACAGCATACTTTGTTAGAGAGGTCCAGTAATCAAGTTGGGTTGCTATCCTAGTGCTCATGAAAAAAAGCTAATGGCAAACGGCACATGTGTGTCGACTACACCAACCTCAACAGAACCTACCCAAAGGATAGTTTCCCGCTCCGCAGAATAGACCGCTTGGTAGACGTAACCTTAGGGCACTATGATTGTACTGCTCTAAAGTAATACCCTCTGGGTTGAAAAATGCTGGAGCAACTTTCTAGCGACTTGTAAATAAAATTTTTTAAATTTAATTGGAAATAAAATTAAAGCGTATGTTGATGACATGGTTGTGAAGACTCAATTTTCTAATTCTTTGATTTCTTATCTAAATTCTATTTTTGAAATTTTAAGAAAATATAGCATGAAGCTTAACCCGAACAAGGGTGTCTTCGGGGTCACGCAGGGAAAATTCCTCGGTTACATAGTGCACCGACATAGAATCGAAACCAACCCAAATAAAATCTAGGTAACCTTAGATATGAGGCCAAATAGGTCAGTAAAAGAAGTCCAAAAACTAAAAGGTTGTATAATCGCCCTAAACCGGTTTATGTCTAAGTAGGTTGAGCGGTGTCTACCATTCTTCAAGGCCATAAAGAAAAACAAAAATTTTGAGTGGACCGAGGAGTGCCAGCCTGTGTTCGATGAGCTCATAAGGTATCTGAGTTCACCTTCACTATTACCTAGACTAGAACCAGGAGATG